GGGAGTACCAGGCGTCAAAGGAGTTAAAGGACCTGCAGGGAAGGCAGGTCCACGTGAGGACAAAGGTGAAGCAGGTTCAGCTGGTTCCCCTGGAAACAAGGGTGATACAGGTGCTCGCGGAAGTCAAGGTTCCCCAGGTCCCAAGGGTGCTCCAGGATCGTTTGTTCGTAATTGGAAACAGTGCGTTTTTAAGAATCTGAACGATGACAGAGACTCCGGATTGATCAAGGTAACAACTGAGTTGGTCGTTCTAGATTATATAAATTAATCCGAAGCAAATTAATAAGTCTGGTTATGACCGATTCAAAAACTCATTGTTCATTTATGGTTTGAACTGCTTGCCAACTGCTACCTGAGTAAGTTCTTGCCCTATCTTGGCTTTAATAGTTGCTTCCAGTCCCCTATTAAATATTTTAAAAAACTCATATTTTAAATAATTCATAAAGAAAAAAAAACAAAAGAAACTAATGTTTATGAGTGTCTTTATATCTGATAAAAACACGGCTAAACTTTGTCCAATTTCTTAGACCAAAATGACCCCAAATCTAAATGTTAGTGCAAGAGTAAAGAATCTATATCAGAGATTTTGAAGCCGTTCAAAAAACTCGCAGTCGTGTATTTTCAGGTTAATGTTTAAAACTCGAGGCGAGTCATTTGAGAAAAGAAAAATGCGTGTTTTGGAACTTGTGCGAGCTATCCATGGAATAATACAAAATGCAGGGAAAAGGTCCAATTTATCAGTTTAAGATATACGTATATTATATGTCTGAATTTGAGTGAATTTCGCAGGGGCATAGGGCCCTTAACGCAGATACGCACTTGCGTACTTGAGAAATTGGTAGGATTTTTTTTTATAGATTTTCTGTTATAATTAAAAGTCATTTGTAGCGTCGTAGCTTGACTTTGTATTGTGCAGATTTGTTTCTGTCTGTCTCGTTGTTATTTCGCATCGTTTTTACACGGTAAATACAACAGTTTGAGAAGTGGAATGAGATAATTCGAAACATTCTTGAAATGTTTGCCTCCAGGCGATCCCACAATACATTGCGTATTCATGAAAAACGGAAAAGAATTTCGGTTCACCTCCCTTATCTTTCTTTTTTTGGCCATTTTAAAGGAATGCATTTTCAAGAAAACATCCGATACCACAGGGTTGCGAGTCTTCTGGAATGGCAATCTTCGTCTCTCTGGCTGCCATCATTGCTGCAGACGATGGTATTTCACCCTCAACGGTGCAGAGTGTTCAACACCAGGTGCCATTGACGGTGTAGTCTACATGATAAATGGCGCGAAAAAGAACTTACACCGTCCACGTCACATTGAAGGAGTCTGTGAGAAAATCCGCAAGGGTACTGTTCGCGTGGGATTCTGGGTCGGCAATTGTGCTGGTTACGGATCTGCTAATGCTTACACAGGCTGGAACTCAGTATCCCGGATATACGTGGAAGAAGTACCTCCCCCACAGGCTTAATAACAGCAGAACCAGAGGTTTTGTTTCACTTTCAAAGATAACCATGAACAGAGTAATATTTCGTGGGTAATCAGTAAGCAAACTGAAGTAAATTTTGATTATTAGAGCCAGGGGTTAAGTTTTCCGCATTAAAATCTCTTTGTAGGGTTTCAAGCTTCAGAAGCTTACATTACATGTTACAAGGCGACAACAATGTTTGAGCGACTTTTTGTTATCTCAGTAAATAAAAGGGCTTTAAAATAAAATAACCTGTGCGTGAAATATAAATTTACTACCCTTCCCGACCTTTATTTTTCCTTTGTTATCTTCTTCTTGATTCTTTGGTTTATCATTTAAGATTATTTTTCTGTGCTTATATTCAGTTACAATTAAGTAACAGAAGTCAGCATCAAAGTCCGAGCGATTAGTTATCTTCAGCTGATGGTACAAAAAAAGGGGCACTCAACGACCGACCCGGTTTGGTAAATTTGGAGGTTCTCTAAATGCTATTTATCTGTTTGGATTTCTTAGGGTAACTTTAATCGTCTCCAAAGTTTAAGGTGGCGTTTTTGTCTCATCTGATCTGAAACTGTTTGCTACCCTGATGGGTCCGATCGTAAGTTTGAGGGTATGGAGTAGCCGCACCTTAAGTAGAAGATTCTACGGAACGTTTTGAATTTTTACCGAAATATTTGGAAGACCTTTTTAAACAATAATCGCGTGCAATATCTTGCGTGAAAAACACAGACTCCCAAATTGAAAAACAAATCGTATGAAACCGAATATGTTAGAGGAATGTAGCTTTCATCCACAAAATTCTAGCCTTTCCCTAACTTAAGAAAGATTTCGAGGCATTATTTTCTCTTTCGAACCGAAATTTGGCTAGAATTTCATTTTTAAAGTGCAGCCGTCGGACTGTCGTTGCAAAATGCTAGCGAATATTTTACACGTAAAGAGCTAAAACGGAGTTGGTGTGAAGAATAAGGTTACGGAAATAAGACCGCGATGATATAATGCTGAATTCAGAACAGAGAAAGTTCTTTTCACACTAAAATTTTAGTCACAGCCACTTCGTTGCGGATGCCAAACCTTCACTCAGGAAATCAAATTGTTGCTTGACCTTATTCGCTTAATGAGGCAAAATATTTGACCGTCAGGGATTTTTTTGCCTTATGTGGTAACATTTGAGTCTTAAGGTAAATTTATTTTTTCGTTGCGGAAAAGGAAAAGTGTTTGACCAGAGATCAAAACGGTTCATTTATTCGGAAGAAATATTGGATCGGTGACTTTTGCGCATTCCCGAACTTTAAAAGCTTCAGCATCTGGAACACTGGAACTAGAGCATAGTCCCGCACTTAAAAACGGATGTTCGGGTCTTTTTGGATAAGCAGAAGAGCTTCCTTTTGGCTTGACAGAAAACGGCTAGGCTAGCAACAAAAGATGTGTTTCAGCAAAATTCCCAATAGCAAATGGGTTAATAATAATAGTAAAAATAATGCTGATAACGATGATGAAGATAATAATGATAATAACAATCGAAAAAGGAGAAGCTTATCATTTAGTTCCGAAGTCCATTTTATTGCTGAATATACGGGTAATTTGGAAGGTGAACACTGCCTTGGATTTAGTTCAATCTTTTGAACTCAATCATGATGGTTAGTTAACAAATACATTTGTATCATGGTCTNAGAAGCTTATCATTTAGTTCCGAAGTCCATTTTATTGCTGAATATACGGGTAATTTGGAAGGTGAACACTGCCTTGGATTTAGTTCAATCTTTTGAACTCAATCATGATGGTTAGTTAACAAATACATTTGTATCATGGTCTTTAGCAGTTAAACTGGGAATGCACTTTTCCAGAAAGTTTCCATGACCACCCATTAGGCCACAAGGATTATACCTGAAAAGTTATACATCAGGCCTCAGTTGTTCAAAAGTTGGATAACGCTATCCACCGAATAAATCACTATCCCACGAATAAGTGTTAGGGAAACCAGTTGCGCTATCTAGTGGATAGTGATTTATCCAGTGGATAGCGTTATCCGCCTTTTAAACAACTGGGGCTTGTACTTTTAGTAGTGTTACAAAGACTATTGAGGAAGAGAATGGACCATAAGAACAAGTTTAAAAATAAAGCCAGGGTGATTAAATATGTTCTGCAAGTGTTAAAACGTAGTAAAGAATTCCTCCCACTCTCATTACCTCATGAGGTAATATTATGAGGAACATACAAAAGGTTAAAATTGGTTACAAAAGTTGTTCAATACTAATCTACATCTGCTGCTAAGGAATAGATAGATATATAAATTATGATAAATACACAAATCATGCTAATATGCATCTTGTTCCATACTTGTTGTATTGCCACAGCTTCAAATGATGAAGTTACTTCTTCTTTTTGCCACTTCCCTTCTTCTTGGGCGGCTTGTTTTTACCTCCCACAGCTGCAGGCTTCACTACTTTTAGTGGTTTGGACTGCTTGCCAACTGCAGCCTGAGTAAGCACTTGCTCTATCTTGGCTTTAATAGTTACTTCCGAAAAAGCAAAAGGAATTAATGTTTAATGAGTGTCTCCATATCTGATATTAAACAGACGACTAAAGTTTACGTCCAATTTTTCAAGCCAAAATAACCCCAAATCTAAATATTAGTGCAAGAATGAGTTGATCTTGGCTTCGCCTCGAGTTTTTAAACCTGATAATACACTCCTGCTCGTTTTTTAAAAAGTTCACTTCAAATCATAAAATATTAAAAGTGGAAGTGAGAGAGGGCTTTCCAAATATTGATTTTTTTCCTCTCATAAAGTTGTAGCTGCATGGTTTGGGCCAAAAGGTAGCATATTTTCTTGAATAAATAAAAGTGTGCTTGTTGACATCGCCACACCCGGGTGGAATGAATATGAGGAGGAGGTTAACTGCTCCCCACAAAATGAGGCTGACCCAAAGGGTGAGGGGGAAATACAGTAATGTGTGTGTTATTACCTTGATTACAGCTCTCGTGCTATTAAAGTCATTAAAAACCTACGATAAGTTTGCACTTATTCTGGATAGATACATTAACACGTAATGCAGTACATGTTTTGGAAGTACTTACTGTATAAACTGTAATACCAGTCCCTCGATCCACTTCTCATAGCGGGGAAATCCGAATGTCACAAAAAATAACATTTGATTTCATTGTGAAATGATACCAGACCAAGAGAAAGGATTTCCTCCAGTGCCTTACATCATGTAGTCTGCTACACAGTCGTTTTTAGTGTCGTCACGCAACGCTCCTCCCCAGTGGGCTGTGTAGCAGCCTATACAGTCAAACGTCAGATGTTTTTAGTTACAAATCCCTAATAAGTATTAGGAAATTAACTACGTCATCCACTGAATAGAGACTTATCCAGTAGATAACGTCATCCCTCTTTTGTAACAACTGGGGCCTGAACCTTTCAGGATTAAATACCGCCGAAAGTACAATTCCATCAAGAACGTCTTTTGACCAAAGCATTTGGTGTTCTTGCGCACACATACATTGGTATTCGATTGAAAACGTTATTGTAGGATGTCTAAAGAGAAAAAATATAATTGTATTCCTTCATTATAATAAGCCTGGCGGCAGGTATGAGGCGGGGCAGGGGGGTCCTAAAAGGACTAGTCATGTGGGCGGCTGACGGGACATCTGATTTAGATAAAGAGCAATCAGGGAACACCTTTTGACTAATTATTATCTAAAAACCTGTTTGATGGATTCGAGATAAATAAACAGCACCTTAGTTACCGTAAGTGTTTCAATTAGCTGGCGTTCTAGCAATTGAATTGTAAAAGCAGTCAACAGCCTCTACCTATTGTTTTAATTCGACTGATCCAGGATGATACTGTGACATTAAGAGCAAGATTTACATGGCAACAGTTTTTATCTCCGAAGAAGAAAGCTGTTTCGTTTATTTTGAAAAGTAGAGTTGAATATCTCTGTCGATCCAGTAAGATAGATTTCCGGGGAGGGAATTGTCCTATCAAAAAAAACCGTGCCCGTATGTTGGAAAATTGGAATTAAGCCTCTCAATTGGGTGCGGCTCCAGCTTGATTTGACCACTGACTCGTCCCCAGTCGTCTCTTATTATTTTGTAAGCGGTCAAGGAACGGTTGCGGAGACTATTACGGCACTGGTGCGAAGGGGACGATGGGAAGGTGAAAGGGGAAATGAAGTCTCTTTCCTCCTTCCCATCATCCCCGGCACTTCCCTTTACCACGCTTCTCTCGTTAATATTAATAGGAGACTGAAAGACAACTGGAAACGGGTTAGGATTTGACCCCAATACTCCAACACAATGACGGCATTTGCTACTTTTTATTTAGCTTAATCTTTATGCACAACCCTACGCAATTTTTTATGGGTTAAGAATAATCGCTTTCCTTTCTGAACACCCTAAGTCAGGCCAAAATCTTTAATTTCTACTGCTAAAAGTGACCACGAGCATCACCACCATTTTCATATGGGAATCAGGCATACAAACGATTACTAAAAAATTACATCGATGCGAGATTCATTACAAGTAAGTAAGTGACTAATTTTACTTAACCACATATCGCATATGAGCAATAGCTCGTTTAAATGCAAATGTGCCAATGCCTTGAAACTTTCACGCACTGCTTTATTAGGCTGCCTCCTCGCATCCTCGCGTCTTCGCGACGCTGTTCGTTGGCAATAACTTATTTCTACTTACAGTGGACTCCCAATAACTCGAACCTTCAAGGGAAATCGAGTTTACGGAAGCTCGAAGAAAATAGCCGGGAGTAAGGAAAAGAACAGCTTTTACTGCACAGTAACCACTTTAATCACATTTAATTGTAGAAATGTCAAGTGAAAATTAAAAGAAACTTCTTGATTATAAATCAGAATGTAACGTAACAAATAACCTAATTAGAGCATGCGTTTTACTGTTTTGAGATGCAAAGCGGTTTCACGTTAGATTTGTGACAAACAACATCAGCCTCCACTAATAAACTTTAACATGCCTACAACACGTCAATGC